GCTATTTTCGGTAAAGTGATTGCGACCCGTATTTTTTGTGTGAAATAAATAAATGATAGATGAATTAGTTTATCTCGCCATTGATATTGACTTCAAAGTAAAAACCTTGTGCCTAACGTAAGCATAAATTAGTCGCGACATACGTGCAATGGAGTAACTCACTCGTTCCTGTTTTATTCAAACAATGATTAATGAATGAATGAGTGCAACACGAATGAATATACGACCAACGCAACATAAAAAAAGAAGAGAGAAGGATAGCTAATGTATGCACAAATAGGTATCTGTGTGGTAAATGCGTTTGAGTATGGCGATCAAGGATAATAACGAATAAAGGTAATCAAAATTCGTTCTCTTTCGCATAACCGATACTTTATCACTCAGAAGGTCGCTGATAGATTATCATCGTATTTACTTCTCCACATGTGTACATAAACTCGCACCTTGATCTTGAATAGAGGACGCATCATGAGTTAATAAAGTAATAAAAAAAATATTACTTAACTTCATTTAGAAGATACAGTTTACACGCTGTTAATAATCATGAGTGATCCATTGATCATCGTTCCACAAATAACCAGTCCTTGGAAGCCTTTATCTTTAGTAATAGCTATGGGAACTTTCGCTACTCTAGTGATAATCGGCATGGCATTGGGCTTAGGCTTAGGTATTGGACTAAATAATAATAATAACCAAAATGTAACGCTTGTTACAACGACAAGCTCAGCGATAGTGACTGTCTCAAACATCATAAACACCACAAGTAGTAACTCGACAACATCCAGCACATCTACAACATCCACAACATCCGAAACATCCACAACATTCACGACAACGACAGGTTAGTAGTCTGATCAATATGATTTTTTATGTATGAGTCTCTATATCAAGTTCTTTTTTAATTAGTTTTATTCAAGAACATTTTTATACAATGATTTCCTTTATTTCTGTTCCTTTTATAAAACTATTTCAAAGAGTACAAAGAAATGTCTCAAAAGGTTACGGCTAGTTATGAGTTGCACGAAAAAATATACTATATTTTAGTTTGTGTCACTTACTTTGCCTCGATAGTACGTAGTCAATCACTTCCAGTTTCTCATTTATGTAAATATCGATATTGAGAATACTTTCCAATTGAATATATTCCTTGTATTTTGCTTTAACTAACTTCTTAATCAGAAAGAAACATGATGCCTGCTATCATACAGTTTGTCTTTAATCATAAAACGATAGAATCTTCTGTATTTCGTTACATATTTCGTCAAACATCAATGGAATACCAATAAAAACAACCCCATTGGGCATGTGTACTTCGTGAAGTACTGTTTCTAGATGGGCTTAAATAAATGCAAGGCTAACGGACATTTTCTTTGTCTTTGTCCAAAACGTCTATAAGAAAGACTGTGAAGTTATTGTTCTATATAGCAGTAACAACAAAGATATTTTTTTAAATAACCCAATAATAGTAGATAACTGTTATTTTTTGAAAAAAACTCAATTTCCAACATGGAGAAAATCTTGAAAGCCACTAGTGACAATTACTCGTTGTTTTAAAATCATTGTCTAAGTTATTCGATATGAATCTCATTAGATTGATCTCGGATCTAGAGCGTTACAGAAAACTATTTAACTCTCTGTATTAATATTATTTATAACTCTTCCAGTTGATATTTTGGATCTTTGTGATTCTGAGAAAATTTTAATCGCAAGTATTATTCCGTCCTTGATCGATTGATATATACTGAAGTTATCACTTTGACAATATTACTTCTTTATTGAAGCCATATCTTGATCATTTTTTGGCATCCATTTTCGCGCAACACTTCGTTTGAAAGCCAACTAGTGTAGCCAGCTGAACTGGAAGATTGATGAAAAGTTAGCCCGAAGTGGCACCGCTTTGATCTTAGTAATGAAAGCTTCCATAAACAAAAAAATACTACTCAGCAGTCTGATGTTGATAACTTGAGGTAGCTTCAACCAATTCTATTGGAAATTTTACAGAATATGTTTTCGTGAGATCCTGATACGAGTGTTAGCATTTTAAGAGTTATAACTTGTTGAGAGTCGGGAGAAGATCGCCGAAAATATGTACTAGGATACAGTGTGGGTGTGGTGTGGGTGTGGGTCTCTCCTTTATCTACACCCACATCCACACCCAATAGATGCTTTAGGATACCGACTTCAAATCGTTTATGAGAATAAATTCAACTCAGTGTTTCACTCTCTTCGGTGGATGCATAGTTTTACCTTCTATGATATATTTTATTAGAAAGAAATCGAACTATAACAACTTTATGTCAGCTTAGATGTGATGAAGTGATTGATCACATTCATATCCTAGAAATAGATCTGCGTCACAAATGTCAACTCCAAGAAGTTGATCTAGTACTTAATCTCATATTATCGCAATCAAATCAATAACACAGCTTGATCACAGAAAATGCTATAAGGCTTTTCGTCACAATCATAACGGAATTACTGGTAGCTAAGAAAAAATAGTTGCAAAATAATCTAACAGGTACTAAACAAATAGACTTCCTAAGTCGGATTAGAAGAACTATAAATCAGTTGTTCGAGCTGAAAGAACCGTTATATTCATGGAAAGAAGAGACAATAAAATATATAACGAACGTAAACTAGCAGTTCATCAGTGAAGGATAGTTAAGAGAGTATCAAAAGAGTAAAAGAGTGGGTTATTGAGAGTTGTGAGATCCTACAATGGTAGAAATATGTGTCAAAAAGATGCGATAACACATCTTTCATAATTTTTATAACACGATAAATATGTGTTGTAAGATTTAACTATATGGTAAATGAAAGTTGCCGGAAATATAGTTGATTTTTGAATATCAGCTTAAGAATCGTGAATAACAGCAATATGATAATATTTTTTATTGGAAAGAACATTAACTGTCATATCGAGTATATTCAGCTTTTTTGCTTAAATGACACAAAACTGTACGGTGATCAGTGCCCATAAACGTCTTGTCAATATCTTACTTTAGTATTCACAAATTCTTCTTAATTCTTGCCTTATATTCTTTCGGACCAGTTTACGGAAAATGTATTTCAGACAGTAAATATTTCCAACGAATATGTATATGTAGATTCACAATATTCGTTATGGCTAGAGTTAAGATGAAAACTTCATCGTAATCCGACTCTACACTTTTATACTTGAGTTTAACAAAACCAAATACTTTATAAATAAACTGTTCCTTACAGTATGTAATCATATATATGCATTGAATATACTTTTTTCGTGTTGTACATTCATTTAATATTGTACTATTTCAGTAGCAGTCTGTCTGAATGTTTTTGGGCAATCGACAACTTTGTCAACGGGTGTTGGCCCAATTTCTATCACATCTGGCTATTTTAACAATGATACACGATTAGATTTGGCTGTAGCCAATAACGTCAGTAACAATATCGGCGTGTTTCTTGGTAATGGTGATGGTACCTTCCAAAATCAGGTTACTTATTTAGCTGGCAAACTGCCATTCCAGATAATAACAAGTGATTTGAATAGTGATAATATAACGGATCTCGTCACGGTAGACTTTGGTGACAACCTGGTCAATGTGCTACTTGGTATTGGCAATGGTTCATTTAAGAATGGGACAACTTATAATATAGGTTCAGCTTCTACTTCTGTGGCATCGGGTGATTTTAATAATGATAATAGACAAGATCTGGCTGTTACCTTGACAAGTGGTAATGTCAGTATTCTCCTTGGCAATGGGGATGGAAGCTTTCAAAATCAAATCTTATATCCAACAGGTACAGGTCCATTATCTGCAATATCTGATAATTTCAATAATGATTCCAACCTTGATCTTGCTTTTGTGAATTTTGGCAATAACAATCTTGCCGTGCTATTTGGTAATGGTCGTGGAAGTTTTTCGTTTCAGACAACATATTCAACAGACTCGGGACCCGACTCCGTGGTATCGAGTGATTTTAATAATGATGGAAAGATAGATCTCGCCGTAATGAGCTTTACTAATAATACTGTAATTGTACTACTTGGCGAAGGTAACGGAAATTTTCAGAGGAAGGTGACATATTCGACAGGCCAAGGCCCGTTTCAAATCAAAGCGGGTGATCTCAACAATGATGGAAATATAGATCTAGCTGTAAGTAATGCGCTAAGTAACAATATCGGCGTGTTTCTTGGTAATGGTGATGGTACTTTTCGCAATCAGCAGACATATACAATAGGCAGTGGTCCATCGGGTCTAGTACTGGGCGATTTCAATACGGATGGAAAACTGGATCTTGCTGTGAATAGTTATGATGCCAATAGTACTACAATTTTTCTGAACTTATGTCCATAACTGAACTACTTAACATCAACTTGTAGAAGGTGTTAACTAAGAACAAAAAGTACATTTAAAGTATGATCAGAAATTCAATAGCGGTTCACTTTTTTGGAATTGTTCACTAACAACGAAAAATATTCTTATTGTTCAATATGTGTGCGATGTCAAGTTTAGTTTTATTTTATTGAAGTTGCTCTTATTTTTAATTGTATATTTTATTTTTACTAACCTTTCTCTTATCTTAAAAAATATATCCTGAACATTTTTCTCACAAAATAAGTACTAAAAGCTAGGTTTCACAATCGATAGTATTCACTCGTTGTGCAATGTAACCAATAGAAGGAAATGCAATAGGAAGAGTGAACGAATTTTCAACGCTGATCTATGCTAAGCCTTTTTTTGCTGATTTCTGGTCAATGTACATCAGTTTTTCGAAACAATGAATATCGAAATATTAGTAATCATTTCTATGTTTCGGTAAATCCTTTAAGAACGTTGCTGAGTTTTTGCTTTTCATAAAATGAGTTTTGAAACTGTTCCGACGAGACACACTTTTCCTCGACGAACACAAGTCTGTTAAATCTCAATAATAGCTAAAGGAGCATTGGGTTGGATATGACTAGGATTTGACCTACATAGCTTGTCAAAAATTATCTAAGAATAAAACAATCTGTCTCTATCGTAGGTTCTTGAATCTTGCAGACAAGTCAATCTGTTCTATTTCTTATCGGCATTGCATTCGATTGAATGAAGTATTTCCTATGTTATTTGTGTAGTTTTTTTTCTAACCATTCTTGAATGGTACATAAAAATATTCGACTAACTTTCTGTACAATGAAACTTCTCGATGACAAACACTTGTAATGAGACATGATTGTCATGATAAACCATATTGATCAAGATCATTCTTTATGAATGTAGCACTAGATGATGACAAGGAGAAAGATGAACATTGATATCAACGAACAAGCATAGAGAGAGAGAGATGAAGTCGAGCGAAATATTCCTAACTATTTCATACCAAAGGAACAGATCAAGTTAGATTGGTGCGGATGATACTAATCTAGTTCGTATATTCTTTTCTTCGACGTATCAATTAGAAAATCGAATCATAGGAAAAAAATTATATTGTTGTCAAAAGATTCTTAAGGAGTCTCAATTATGTTCAACCTCTTAATGGGAATCGGAAGAAGAATAACAACTAATTAGTCAAGATAAAACTTTTCTAAGTCAACATTAACAAAAGAGTCCACTTAGTCTAATGAGTCTTCTGGATAATATTGATGCATACTACATATAAGAATACATTACTATTGTTAAGTATTCATACAGATCTGAATTTGGTTATGAGTGTAGATACTTATTTCATTCACGTCCACGTTATTCTCATCCGAAGATGAGACAAGTTCCACAATGGTCATTTTGACACTCCCGAATAGGAAAGAAAACAAATAAGTATTATTGGCATTGGGGTATCTTCAATGTTTTTATTAACAGAATCTGTAAGTATTTTGTCTGATGGCATATCGTTTTGCTTTTCATTTTGTAATTTCGCATAACCGCTGGTTTGATGCATGATGCTTTGTTCTTTAAATTCATAAATAAAGCCATTGGCTCTCTCTGTTCCACGCAAGAAATTATGTTGAAGTAAAACAGAATATAGTGTGGAAAAGTACGCAGTGAAAAGTGGATGTCAAACACATAAAATATAACATTGGATGTCGAAAATTAAGTAAAATTAATTCTTTTATTTATAAAATCATTCTATCATTTAAACTTGCCTTTGATTTTTAAAACTATATAGAACTTGCTCTGATATTATTCATCATCCAATCAAGCTTTAGAGTTGATCTCTGTAAAATAAGATTTACTATTAAAACGATTGAGCAATGTCTCATCATAAATCAGAATCAAACAATTAATGTTGAATCTTTCTAGATGAAGTATAATCTCATAAAGCAATGCTTGCCACCGATAACTTTCTACTAATGGCTCGTTCCTTCGTGTTACTTCTTCATTGAGTTAGCAATGTCTCAAATTAGACATGCACTTTATTATTTACTCCAATTCTTCCAAGTTCACAGCTTCACTTGTTAGTTGTAGTGTGAAAAAAATACAAGATTTAATCCATTAAGTGATCATGAGTATTAAGTTCCAAGTATTCTATATTGGAGTGACCACGTGAAAGCAGATTTTGCCTAACATCCCACAAATTGATATCAATACATATTTTTGAAAGTCTTCTCTTGAAATTAATCAATCATTCAAGCCTTGTAGAAAGTATTTCTATTTCTTTCGCACATAGACAAAGGTTTATTCATTCACCTAAAAAGGGTATACAGTAATGTGAAAAGGATCTAATGACTAACACTTTACATAAACCATAGAATACAGGAAGTGTGAGATCCAATGCTTCAGTAACCGATATCGTCATTTTCATTATTCTTAATGACAGTTTTCATAGATAAAACGTCTGAATTGTCTATGAATAAAGCATAGAAATCAACACAGTAGTATTTGGATACTATTCTTTAACTATCCATATGTGTATATCGAATGATAGATAGATAGATAAATAAATATTAGATTTAGAAAACATTTTCTTGTCTCATCAGACGTGTACGATTTTGTTCTATTTGGAGCTGAAACTGAACTATTCTTCATAAAGTATTCAGAAAAAAAAGCGAAAATTCATTGCATTTTCTTCGCTAAAAGTTGTTCGAAATTTTAAGACATGAATCTATTCTGGATTTGTAAAGTTGATTTTAATATGAAATCTTTTTATTCTCAATGAAAACAAGAATTCACACTTATAACTATCATATGTATTCAATGTCAAACCTTCAATGTTGACTGTGAGTGTCAAACTGAAAAGTTGTTCAGGAGAATGCGAATAAAATATGAAACCATGCAATACAGCATAATCCAAGGGATATTTAGTAATTCGATGCCGACATCTTTTATTTTTTATAATTACCGTTTTGAAAACTTGTATAATTAGAAGACAATGGAATATTGTCACAACAGATCAGACATAACCTCGAAATCACAACAAAACTCTCTGCATTTTTTATGTTTCATTGAACTTTTTAAAGAGTTATTTTATTTTGTTTTCCTAATAATTGAAAAGAAGAATTGCACCCTTTGGCCAGACGATAATACTTGAAAGACCACTTGATTTTTTTTATATAAACAAGTACAATAATAACTGTGTTTTAGTTTCATGCACATCAATAAGTGAAAAAAAGTCGCTTACTTTTATTATTTTTAAAAGGAAAGTCTTATATTTAAAAAAGCTGCTAATCAGAGGTGAGAATGTGTTATCAACGTAAATTTTAACTTCTACTCAAGTGAAAGTAGAAGCATAGTTTCTTTTTGTTTTCTACAAGTCTTAAAAAACGGGTAAGCGACCATATAACCAATCGGACTTCCGTGAAAAGCACCAATTCTCAGCACGTATATTACTACTCATCGAGCAAATCTCGTCGTACATGTCGAATAATTTGCCTGCTGTGGCAATCTTCATTGACTTTAAATCTGCTTTTTTTACCAATTGTGATTTGATGAATGTTTGAGAAAACGTCCTAAAATAAGGATTCCACTAACTTATAACCATAGGATTCAAGTGTGGTTAAGTGATCGTCAAACAACTATTAAGGTGTATAGTAAAAGATCGAGAGGGACTACAATTAAACGAGATGGCTGTTAAGGTTCCAGTTTAATACCTATAGTGTTTATCATATATTACAATGATATGGCAGACTACATTCACCAGGGCGATGTCATTTTCCTTTGGAGATGGTCACACGGATATACTAGCAGTTTGAATCAAAATTCGATTTACGGATCAGTATCTAGATATAGAACACCCAATTTGAATTGTACCCGATATTAGCAACACAACCAATCAACTACATGAAAACGAAAGTGATGGTCTTGAGGGTGTGTGGATATGGGTATGGGGGTGTGAGTGTGAGGTGTGGGTGGGTGTGGATTGTGGCTGCTGATTGACAAAAGGTCAACACCCTCACACCCACGCCCACACCCACACCCCTAGAAAATTCTATCACTGAATCAAAATATCTGCCAATTTACATGAGTTAAAGCGATGGTGTGATTTAGAACGCATTCTTTATATCAGGTCATGTCAAGCCGTTTGTGCGACATGTTTAGTCGAATTCGCTAACATCATCTGTCACAATCAATTCGCATATCGATCATTCCCTTGTTGAAGCATGACTTATTTCGATATCAAGTAGAATATGAAAAATAAGAAACTATACATTACTATTGTAGGTTGTTTCACTAAAAGTTGCTCTTTCATCAAACGAAATAAAACTCATGAAATAAATTTTGTTTCTACACTGAAGTCAAGCCGAAGATATCTGCTCTGTCATAGGTACTCACTTATATGTGCAAGATAAGAACACCCTATCGTGCATAAAAAAACGAAGAATATGAAGAACTAGATTGATTTTTGAAATATATAATTATATTTACAACATATATTTTCACAAGATTACTCTTCTACAGATATTATCAATAAACATCAGAAGAATTTTAAAAAGTCTATGCCATCTTAGATATGGAAAATAGAGAAGAACTGTCCTTTACTTATGGTTCGAACACTTTTGATAGATTCATAAGTTTAGTTAATAAATTCTAATATAGTACTGTGATTGGAAAATATCAATTTAGTACCTATTAATTAATATTTTCCTATTCAGAGAAATTTCGATACTCTAGTAACTTTCTTGCAGAATATATATTTGCATTATATAATTATATGGCGTGATCTATGTTGAATATATGAAATACAAGGTGTATCTACGTATTTTCTCATTGTTTTTCTTTCATTTTCATCTACATCACTTTGTCTAAATTCAGTAGTAATAGGGATCACTTAACATTTATGAATCATCACAGTCGAAAATAATTCTAACTCAATCGTTTAGTTCAGTATGAAGTTATCATGTTTACAATATTTTGTCAATCAAATATTTCAATCTGAAAGCTTCACAAAAGATTTAAACAAATAGTTCTTTCACCGACATGATACCAATAGTAATACTCATAGTGTGTGTTTTGCTTGTAAAACCAATCAAGATGAAAGTGTATCTATTCATTCAAAATTTTTAACATAGTTAGTTATCTTTATGTTGAAAAGAATTTGTGTTCTTAATATCCACTTAAAGACATGAATCATTAGATATATCTATAAATCAATTTTTCATTTTGTTTTAATAATAAAAAAATTATCTGTTTTTTTCTGTTCGCACTACAAATAAGAAGAGCAATTTATTATTTTAAGTACAAATTCAAAGAATTCTTATGATTTATTATATTTCTATAGAAAGAATTATTTCATAGTTCAATAGTTATTGAATAGTTAAAACAAATATCCTTGATAAACAATATCTTCTAATCGATCTTCAACATATCTTCCGGATGGTAAAGGTTTATTATTTTTTTCTTGCAACAAACGCACATTTGGATCTTGATCAATAACAATTATCCAAGATCGAATTTGTTGTAGATTTTGTACACAAAATTCATCGGCATTATTAGGATGTTCAAAGTAAACAGTGTCACAACCCTTTGCTGAAGACCACTCAGTAGGCTTAGTGATTCGTTTTGTTTTACCTAAATCTACTTTCGCACATATATATGCTCCAAATTGATTGGCTTTGAACTCTCTATGATTGAGTGATGTTGCAAAATATATACCTGGTCCGATTCATCCGTTTTTCGAGGGTTGTAAACGTGTCTTAGCAATAGAGTAAGCAGCAGCATGACTTGTTTGATGAAATCCAACAACAATTTGATTATCCTGTGTCTGTTCAGGTGGATAGCGTGTGTTTCCTGAATGATAAATAATAACATGATACAGATTCCGTGACAAACATCTTTCTCCTTTGTCACATCGAGAGTTTTGCCAATGACTTGTTTGTTGATCATTTGTCATTGCAATGGGTAAGAAACGCAAGTGTTCTTTGATGTAGTGAGGTTTTTCTTCTAATGACCTGTCTGGTCGATAATGAAACCATAGGCGATGATGATGCAGATATTCGACAACTAATAGAATTACAGCAGGAATAAGTGAAAATGCAGCCAAGGTCAAATAACCTAAACCAATTGGTCCATATCTATTTGCACATACACAAGCAAGTATGAATGCTATAAATCGCATCACTTCAAATACAACTAAAATAGTAAATCGAATTATTAAAATAAGTTGAGGATGTTCTCGATATCATTCATAACGAAAACATGTCAATGTTGAGAGATTCCAAGCAAATGATTGAGAACAACATCCAACTTTTTCACGATCAGATTCAAATATAATTGGTTCAAGATAACGAAGAAAAATATAGATAAAATTTGCAATAAAAGTGATAAATGATGATCCTAACTCCAATAATAATATTACGACAGGGAAAGCTATTGAATCACTTTTAGCAGATGATAAATCTGTACATAGAACAATAAAACGTATAATAAATGCTATAGTGCAGATTGTGTGGAGTATCACAAGATAATGATATCGTTCAAAATCGTTTTTTAACCACATCGAATTTTATTGAGAAATATTTAAAAAAATAAAATTTTGTTTAACTTGAAATAGATCAATATTCTAAAATATAAAAGTTCAAATTTTAAACAAATCTATGAAGTATTGAAGATAAAATATTAAATAACTCTATATTGAGTGATTATAAACATTTGAATGAAACAATAGAAAGGATATTTGTATGATCAAAACCTCGTTTTCATGGTAAAAAGAGCTTATGAGTGCAGTCTCTTTGAGGCTGAAATGTGAAACTCACATATCGTCTTTTGTTTCATTAAACTCATAACAAAATACACAATGATTAAATTCTCTAAAAGATGATAGTTCTTTTCTAATAATAATCGATTACCAGCAAATGCTATCTTTTTCATTTCAATACTTCAAGCAGAAATTTTTTTGCTGGAGTTGCTATGGTCTGTATTGGAAGGGATGTGTGTAATGGGCTGTGTCTACAATGATGAGACCTGCGTTGTTAAGTGTCTGTAATGGAGAGGGGGAGGGGGTGTCGATGGAGTCGCCAAAACGAAAACTTAAAGCTTACACTCACTATTTTCTTCGAAAATGTATGTGAGTTCCACAAAAACAACAATTACATCCACCATCCTACCGCATTTACATCTGTACACGACATATACTTTTTCCATTTTGATTTTAAATTTTGCAGAGAATTTATACCAGAGAACAATAAAAAAGAACTTCTGCTATGCAAAGGCCACAGAATCATTTCGTTACAATGGCAACAGTGATGTTTCGCACTTGTTTTTTTCCAACAAAACACATTTCGCATTGCTTTTTTTCCAATAAGAATGTTTTGCTGACGAACAACATTGACTGAGAAGTTTTTTTTCTTCTGATATTACAAAGATCATAATATGGTAATAATGTCATTTCTGTCGAAAGTTGGTAAAAAAAAAAGAAACCCAGAGGCTGACTTTTTTTGCGCACTTTTTGATGACGAAACCACTCAAGAACGCAAAAAACGTATCGTAAATAGAAGGAAACAACCAACACATTCTCTTCAAAAACAGAAACTATCGTTTGAAGAATGGGTTGTGATTGTCGTAGTCCAATAAATTGTTATGATGACGCAACACGATACAAAACTATGTTTGTTTTTCATACAATTGATATGATATTTTTTTATTATTCGATTAAGTCTTGTAAGTAATGATATTTCGAAAGGTACTTCGGATACAAAGAGTTTTCTTATACCAATTCTATTATTTGATTTAATTGCCTCAGTTCCAATAATAATATGTGATATTATTTATGTGGTAATGCGTCATTGTGTTCAACCATTAGTTCATGGACACAGTTCTTATCCATGTTTATGGAATTTTGGGACGATGACATGTATTCGAATCGATTGTCATCATGAACGACCACAAACTATTTTACTGATGCGTGTTATTTTTATCATTTGTTCCTTTATCTTAGGATTTATTTGTTTCGTTATCGGTGCTTCCTGTTCTGCTCGTTTCAAATCACAATGTACTGCCTATACTGTCATTGCTACTTTTGCTCTAGTATCATCTATAATAGTTATTATTACTGAATTTGTCCATTTTTTTCGTTTATGGACTTACAATTCAACGGATACAAGAAATACAAGCAATACAAACTTAGTTTATAGTACTGATCGTAGGAGAAGAATAGAAAAAAACTCATCAACATCATCTTGGTTTTATTCATTATTCATTATTAAATGATCAGAATGCCGACAAATTTCGAGATTCAAGAGGTGAAAAAGGAAATGATTGTAAATCAAACAGTCTTCATCATCATTTATTGTATCATACACTTGAATCGGAACATGATATTGATTTAGAAACATTGTCAAATAACGAAAAAAAATCTTTCATTGCTTTTTATGAAACAACTAGACAAGAAGCATTAGATATTGCTCAAAATGGATTTCCCTATGGAGATACTACTAATACAGGATATAAAGATTATTTGCATCTGAAACAAAGTATTTTTTTTATACGTTCATGTAAAAGAGGAGGTTCTTCGCCTACAGAAGCGATTATATGTGTTCGACTCAATTTAGGACGAACATTAGTAATAACTGGTGATACAAATCCGAATCTTAATGATTATTTTGGACTTGGCGATGGAAAATGTGATACAGTTTATGTAAGAAATACACGTCGGTTTTGTCTTCAAATGCCAGGTCAAATTGAAAAATGGATTATTACAATTAATACTGGTGTTCCAGTTAATGACAATCTCGATGGAGATTTTTATGTAGGTTGTCCTTAAATAAACTATTCGTAGACCAATGTTAAATAGAAAATCATTTGCATCATAATTAGAAAATAAACTCTACATTATTGTTTTATCAATTAATGACATGTTGCATCGTATATATACTTAGGGCATACCAAAAGTAGTGGCGGAGGTTCGGTAATTTCTTATAAGAAGCTTTAAGAAACTTTCTCTCTATATAGTCTGATAGAGAAAAGAATGCTCTATTTTTCTATGCTATTTGATCATACTTCAACTAATATCATAATAATAAAATCTCGATAGTATCTATTTTGTTTGCATCTGCCACACGTTAACGCGCCTTTTTAAAAAAAGGCGGATGAGTATTTTTTTGAACAACTTTTGACAGAAACAAGATGGAGAACTGCGGTTTTCACCGTTAGAAAGAGGAGATGAAGATGTATCGAATCGTATATTACAGAGTATCTTGATGTGTTTTTTGTGAGGTTTTAAATTGACCTTTTTTAGAACAAACCTATCTGATAAGTTGTTTACAGTGAATTCTCAATTATCAAGTATAGATTCAAACCACTAATCGAAGATCTACGAACTGCGGAAGACTAAGATAAATAATATGTATTCTAGTCGAGCCTCTACTAATACGATTTTCTAGCAATTTCTATGAAAAAACTCACTTTTGTGCTTTTTCCTTTTTTCATAAAAAAAAAAAGAACATTTCCCCGACAGTTAGAAAATTGAATAAAAATACTTTAGAAATCAATATTAGAAAAACCTATAATATCGATTCGATGCATCTTCATCTCCGCTTTCTAACGGTGAAAACCGCAGCTCTCCATCTTGTTTCTATCAACAATTATTCAAAAAATACTCGCTAGCATTCATGTTGTCGTGACACATGCGAACAAAACAGATCTTATCGAAATTTTATTATTATGATATTAATTGAAGTATGATCAAATAGCATAGAAAAATAGAGCATTCTTTTTTCTATCAGACTATATAGAGAGAAAGTTTTTTAAAGCTTCTTATAAGGAATTACCGAACCTCCACCACTACTTTTGGTATGCCCTAAGTATATATATATATATATATATATATGTGCATACATGATAATTTATTGTTTGATAAAGCCTAGTGGAATTTTTCTGTGAAAAAAGGTTTTTTTCATATTTTTTTTTGGACTGCACTAAAATTTATTGTCATGTTTTCACTAAGATGTTTTTTCTTGATTTCATAACTCAAAATTGATATTTTTTTTCAACTTATTTAGATCTGACCAACGAAAAGAATAGTAACATGAATATGAATATATGCGAACATAGTTATGCATTTCTTTAAAAAACGAACGAAAAAAAAAAGAACAG